TCCTGTGAAGTGATAAGCACTGGAATCAATGAAAGGTAGCAACTGATTCTTGAAAGCACTCAGCACCTCTTGGAATCAGGCTCAAAGTCCATGGCAAGTTGGAAGATTTTTATATATTGATTTTGAAATGATGAGCACTAAGAATTGTTTAAACAGTGTCCAAAGCAGTAAAAATAACTCTAATCGCCTTTTCCACCCCAGCTGAAAACAAGCATACAGTGTTCCAGTCCTCTATACCTCTATATCTATCTATCTATATATTTTTTAAAGATTTTAATACGTGCCTCAAAAAATACCCATCCTTTGTGTTTATTTTTTTGCCCAGTTCCTCAATATTTAGCCTTTTGGTGACTTGTTAAAGAACAATGGGTTTCTTTATTTTGTTTTGTTTTCCCATTGACTTTTGCTAAGTGAAAAGACAGGAAATGTAATCTGTCTTCTTTAGAAACCTTTAAACCACACTGGATGGCTCTCTAAAAGATATGCTGTGGCCTGTATTATGCAGGTCAGATTAAATGATCATAGTCATCCTTTCTGGTCTTAATTAGAGCCAGTTGGGAATGTTTTGACAAGACATTAGTCCGTCAAAATGTCCATTTGCCAAAACTTTTCACAGAAGAAGGGTCAGTTTTGAGAAATTTACTGTTTCTAATTTTTTTTTCAAATGACTTTTTATTTTGAAATTTAAGCTAATTTGTATTATGTAACAAAACACCAATGGGTTTTCCCATCCTCTTTGTTAAATTAAAACTGTTAGTTCAATGGCATCAGGTGAGGAATTTCTGGTAGAGATGGATAAGTATTAATGCAGTTATACAAGGCACTGATAAGACCTCACTGGACTACTGTGTACAATTCTGGTCACCCATATTCAAGAAAGATTAATTCAAACTGTGACAGGTGCAGAGAAGAAATACTGGGATGATCAGGGGAATAGAGAACCTATCTTCTGAGAGGAGACTCTGAGTATGTCTACACTGCAAAACAAATAAAAACCCTTGCGGCAGCAAAGCTCAGAGCCTGGGTTAACTGACTCAAGCTTGCACTATGGGGCTAAACACAGCAGTGTAGACATTCCTTTTCGGTTTCAGAACCTGGGCTGCAGGCTGCTATTTTTAGCCCCTGCAAGCCGGAGTTAGTTGATCCAGGTTCGGAGACTCGCCATTTTTTGTTTTTGCAGTATAGACAAACCCCCCAAAAGCATGTCTCATTTAGCCTAGCAAAACCAAGGCCGAGAGAGGATATTACAACCCTCCATAAATACATCAGGGAATAAACACCAGGGAGGGAGAAGAGAGAGTTAAGCTAAAGGACAATGTTGACATAAGGACAAATGGATATAAACTGGTCATGAATAAATTTGGGCTGGAAACTAGAAGGTTTCTAACCATGAAGAGGTGAGTGGTTCTGGAACAGCCGTCCAATAGGAGTTGTGGGGACAAACAAACTACCTGGTTTTAAGATGGCGCTTGACATATTTATGAAATGGATTATATGACGGAGCTGCCTGAGATAGCTGGAGACTGGACATGATGACCCAAGAGATCCCTTCCTGTCCTATGTTCCTAATGGTACCTTGATTAGTGATTGTGGTTTGAGATGCCCTTGATGTTAACTGAACCCATTGCTTGAAATATAACTTTGCAAATGATGTCTTGCTTGCATTCAGGATGAGTTGATGGCGGAACTGGAGGAATTGGAGCAAGAAGAACTGAATAAGAAAATGACGGATGTCAGATTGCCAAGTGTCCCATCCACATCGCTGCCTTCCCGTCCTGGTAAGCTGCCTGCCATTTTAAGTTTCCTTTAATTAAGCCATGTCCTGAGAGAGAAGGGGGAGAGAGTGAAAGCTCAAATGAAGCATTTAACTCAGCTTTAACTTTTAGTGTAGTCTTCTTACCCATTTGTTGTGCCTGCTCAGATGAAGTAATGGGGTGTATGGTTTGGTTCATGGAAACATTTAGGACCAAATTCTGTGCAGGTGTAAATGGCTGCATGTCCTCTGGCATTTGTTTGGCCTTTAACATAGGTGTGGCAGTATTTTCCAATGAATCATATAGGTAGGTAACCCAGAAATGGGAAGTTATTTTCCCCCCCTTTCTGGCAAAGCAGCTATTTGTTTCTTTTGAAATAGGAGGGTGACCTGGATTCAGAACATTTCAGTAACATGGCTCCTTCTCCTGAAATTTGCCACTGATCTTGTATTTACCAGCGAATGAAATGAAAGCTCATAAATTTACAGACGTAGCTTCAGTTCCTTTCCTTATGGGCCACGCTTGCTTCCTGAACAATATCATTCTGAAATTAAGCAGTAGCTAATAACTAGGCACACAGCCCTTCTTTTTCTAGAGTCCTTCTGAACCATTTACTCTGAGTTAACTTTTATCCACTGATTTATTTTTCCCCACCTTGTTCCAGTGTTTAGGGCTCAAAATACCTCCCACTGAAGTCAGGGAGTTGAATCAGACCCATAATGTCCAGGGCTGTAAGTGAGCTACTGGTGAGAGCATAATGGCTTTGCACTTAGTCTGCCTACTCCCTGGGCTACCATATTTAGCTCACTATTTGGTAAATAGCTTTGAGATACCTCTAGGCTGACTAGCATTACACAAATCCTGCTGCCAGTGAATAAAATGGCTCTGTTACTTGAGTCACTGATTATTGTTAATCTCTCACTGTAGCATCCTCCAGGAAGAAAGTGGAAGATGAAGATGATATGAAGCAGCTGGCGGCTTGGGCTTCGTAACATCAGACTGCAGTGTTTAGAACAACAGGTTTCTTACAATACAGATGTAAAGAGTTGCAATAACCTTTTGTATGCTTAACAAGTCAGACCCAATTTGATCACTTGTTTTACTTTTGGTAGGGCCAAATGATCTTAAAAAATAATAATAATAATAATAATAATTACTTAACTTCGATACTATTTTTAAATGTTTTGTTTTTTTTAAAAGAGATTTTCAGGACTTGACCAATCTTGTATCATTTTTACAGTGAAAAATTCAGATGGAATTTTTATTAAAAAATAGCTTTTACTGGGTGGAGCCTTACTACAGAGTATTTTTGTGAGACACTAAGGCCCTATGTACACACGTGACCAAATTCACTGCTGGAGTGAATGTTTGAAATGTAGTAACGTCATAAAGGCTTACAAGCAGTAGTCAATTTGGCTCAGAGTATTTGATAGCTACTATAAGCTGCTCTGAGCACATGGACCTAATGGGGCTGCATATGGGCACAGAGATCATCCACCCAGAGCATCTTGCAGTATCAGGGTCCCAAATTGTAAGCTCCTTGGGGCAGAATCTTCTATGGAAGGCTTTGGGATTTTCTGTGTGTGTGTTCCCCCCCCGCCCCCTGTAAATCGCCATATACACCTATATAATTAGTTATAATCAAGGTTTAAAACCAGTTCAGGCTCATTCAGTGAAAATAGTTTGGCTCTCAAGTGTGACTAGGGGAAAACCAGAGTGTAGAATTAGTTTTAATCTAGGTCCCTACCAATTTAAAACTGATTCAGCTAATTCTGTTAAAGACCGAGAGGAGTTGTGGCCTAACTACTGCTTATATGCCTCCCAACTTAACTTTTCCAGGATGAGTCTTAACTTCATATTACAGATTGTTAAAAGAAGTCATAGTGGGACTTGTAATGCTGTAGTTTCAAAATAACATTGGTTTCCAAGCATTCAGTTCCTGTACTGAGACTTGAATGGAAATTGTATTGAAGTGTTAATATCTGAAGTTTCTTAACTTCTTTTTTTCACTTCTTGGAATGTGAGTGATTTATTTGTGGTGATCATGTACAGTATTGCACAACTGATTATTTTTAGTCTAAAGTGCTGAAGTACTGTGTATGCAGAGAAATCAGAACAAGTAAAATTAAACGTGCTTTTCTGTCAAAGTGAATTTTGATGTTATATGAGACCTTCTGACTTAGTAACCCACTGCCGTCCGTAGTGAAATGGTGAAACACTTACATTGGGGGTTTTTCTAGAGTACTGGAAATCAAAGTAGTACTGATCTGGGTTTCTAGTTTTAAAAATTATAATTGATAATCAGGCCAGCCAGGAAACAGTGGACAACGGGGGTTCTTTATCCTTGTAGCAACAGCAGATTAACCATTTAAGACTCTGTGCTAAGCACTTTGGCCTCACACCAGCAAATGACTTCAGTCACCATTCTT